AGTCGATGATTCTTCCCGACTAATGAGCAATCCTGGATGCCAGCTTTAGGGAGGTCGGCATTTGTTTGACCTTTAGGTCTGGCTCACACCAGGAGCATCTCCCCAGTAAGGTGTCTGGTCTTTGTCATCCCCTTCGAGGGCCTGTCCCTGTCTAACTACCTACAGTATTTCTATCTAACTCAGGCTGCCTGCAGCAGTACCAGTTTTTTCCTTGCCATATATAAGGCCAATGTTATGTCTTTCTAAAATCCAAAGATTGTATTATACAATTGTTTTGAAATCGAAACATTTCATTTGGAATTTCTACTTTGTTTCTGTGGTCAGCCTGTACTGTTAGCAAGTGTAACATCAATTGGAAACTAGAACATCAATTGTCAAATGTCACATTCATCAGTCTGGAAGATGGAAACAAGTCTGTCCAGAACATCATTTCGTTAATTACTATATGAAGGAAGACCTGGTGGCTGAGTTCCAGGATAAATGTCTAAACTGAAATCACAGTAAGCTCTCACATCTACAAGGGCATAAATTTTTACGTCATATACTGAAGGTTTTTTGAAAGTTTACTGCCCGAAGCTATAGCGACCATGCAATGCTTTGAGATGTTCATCAAGTCGTGTACTAAGATGGTATGTAAACTGCTTAAGAGTTACCCACCACCTCAAACCATAAGCAGACAGCCAGCTTATGAGTTCCTTTTTCTTAGGTAGTTTTATCGTCAAAACTCCGGCAATTTTGAAGGGAACCAAGTTCCAAGTGTTGCTGTTATTCTGCAAACCTCCAGTTTACAACCCATCACTTTTCCCTGTCTTTCAGGGAAGCGCTTATTCTACTGAGCCATCCCCTCAGTCTCCCTCAGTCTTTCACATCCCCATGATTACCAATGGAAAGCCGTGGTAAGGACAGCAGACCTATGAATGCTGTCATGAGCTCATGAGGTGTCATGATCCTAACAAGCACATTTCTTGGTATGGCTATTGGCACACACAACGTTTGTTGTATTTCAGCATCTGTGTGTTCAGTTCATCTGCTATAATTTCCAACCCTCCATTGCAGTGCTGGCGTTCTGTCCGACAGGTTGCGCCCCTGCCAAGATCCTCACCGTGTTTGCAGACCTCGTTCTAACACTGGACTGCTCCACTTGGTTTGCATGACCTTTCTGCTAGTCAGTATGTACCCACACTGTTTTATCATCTGAATCAAGGTCTGCATTCCCTGTGTCTGTGGTTCTTGCTGCATTTCATTGCCACAGGAACTTTGGATCACATGACCAACGTCAAAGTCACTGTCATCATCGTCGTCATCATCCATAGGTGAATAATTTCGTGATTCACTTTCCACTTCTTCAGAACTTGCAAATCTGGTTTTTCATGTGCTACTGTAATGAACTGAGCTACTCCTACCAGAAAAAAAAAAATATCAAAAGAAACCCTTCTTTAAAATAACCCTAAGTGCACAGAAATTGAAGCACAAGCGCGTTATGGCAACGTGCCCCGCTGCCGCTCTGGCCGTGCACCTGGGGGCATGCACTCACAGATGGGTTGTTGCTTTTCACAGCACAGCTACTGTCACACCCACATTTCCATTTATGGTAAAATACATGTTTACACAGAAGAGCGATGTGGGTGTGTTTCACCCCATGATGCTCGGGTAAACATACACAAAAGCAGTTAAGAGCATTATGCAGGTAAAAACCCCTTTGACGCTTTCACACATACCTTCCCACTGGTTATATCAAGTGGGTAAACATAAAAACTGCTTCCTATCTCCCTCAGGGACAGCTACTGAGTCGTGTGGCTAGCTACTATTATGCTAAAAAGTATAAATTTTCAGTAGAAAAGTGGGGGATGAGTTGTAACCAGTAAACATGGGTTTTCAGAATGGTACACTAACATGGGCTTCATTTAAAATCCCCGCACAATACTAGCATAAGTCCATCTTTCACGGGCTTGTGGCCTCGAAATGCCTTTTCCTCCTTAGTAATGAAGGTCCTACTGGGCATTTCCTTCCCAAAAAGTCTAGCCTAGTCACAGCTGAACACTTGCAGGAAACAGAACCCTCAGCCTCCGTGTATTCAGCCCGTCGCACCCCATCACTGGCTTCGTCTTTCTCCGCATCCCCCCTTCCCCACGCCTCGCTACACGGCGTATGCCTGTTGCCTTTTTGACTATTTGAAACCAGCCATGCTAGCTCTATACTTCAAGCTGCTCAGCACGGGCTCCAGAACCTTCTAGTGATCAGGGCAGGGTGTTCAGCCTTCCAGAGGCACTGCCTCAGATGCCCTGTGGCAATCCCCTTGTGTGTTTTATCCCAACAGTAAATGCCACCTCTTCCCAGGTCTGCTTTGTCTGATCCGAGTTCTTCCTACTTGGTTAACGATTTCACACCTTTTGCTACATTAGCTGCTTTAATCACATTCTTTTCAAAAGTGTCAATAATGTGACTTAGCCATTCAAGTGCCCCATCAGAAAAGCACCACCCAATTCAAATTTCACAATGATTCTTCAACTCTATTGTGTTTTTCAGTCTTCTTGACTTTACTATCACTATTTTCTAGACCATGGTTATGGTACTTTATGCAAATAAAGCCCCTCAGAAAAGCACAGTGGTATATGCTAGCACACTAACACAAGTACTGCATGCTTCTGGCAGAGGGAGCTGCCTTGAAGCTCTGTCTGATCCTGGCAAAACACAATGTGTGACACACTCTTGGCTCACGCAAGTGGGGTTTTGCTTGTTTCATTTTTACAGAACGGAATCACACTCAGGACCTTGCGCTTGCCAGGCAGGTGCTCATGGTGTTGAGCTATATTCCTGGTCCCTCATACAAGTCTTTTCAAGCCAAATTTTCAACTTAACAGGCAAAGTTCTGAACACCAAGCAGATTTTTTGGCAAATCTTTCTGTTCAAATGGTGGAGTTTGGGCTCTGGAGTCATTCAACAAGGGAGGCAGCACTGTACACAGAAGTAAGGAAACACTGCCAGGGCAGGGTAGTCCCCGGCGCCACGTGATTACCGTCTGTGCCATCAGCCCAGAGGTGATTCCTAACACAGGGAGGGAGAGGCCAATCTCAAGGTTCTGGAATAAGAAAGGGAAGCAGCTACTTGAGATTGAGCTTCCACTCTTCACACTGCACTTGGAGATGCAGGGCGCTTCCCCGGCTGCTGCCTCCCCTTCTCTACCCGAATGCGCAGGTCGCCTCCGCCGGGCCACCCTCCTGCAGCTGGTAAGTCTCTCAGATCAGAACCCAAGTCTCTGTGAAGGAATCCACAGCACCACAGTGAACACAACAGGAAACAGCCTCATTTCAAAAAGAAAATTCTTGTTTTCCAAGGAGCAAACAAAAGTTTTCAGACACCAATCCATAAAATGCAAATTGTAATTGAAGTTTTTCCTTTTGCAGTCTATAAATACCAGTTCTAAGTGAAGCAGCTCATTCCTATTACTCTGCGGTGGCCCTGGAGGACTCTGGAAGCCTGCTTGGCCTCTCCTGGAGGACAGGGCCGGGCTCCACACAACCTCCACCATGGCCCAGCTCAGCTGTTGTGAAGGAGCTCCACCATCAGCGAGCACGTGTCACAGGGAACCAGGCCCGTGGCTGCCACCTCCTGCTCACAAACGCTGTATGTGCCACCACACCGGCAGCTCAGAGAGAAAGAACGCTCATCTGTGAAGAGAACAAAAGAATGCTTCAAACGCCTATGAGCAACTAGTTTGTTCACACCCTCAGAACAGACATTATAAGACAAAAGGAGGAAGCTCAAGAAATGCCAAGCAGGAAACATTTCTTGAGTAGGGGCAGCGTTTCTACATGCTCTGATCCATAGAATCTAGAGGCACAAGGAGCTGGGATCAGGTGCTCAGAAGCAACCTACAAATTCACTTCAAGTTTTCTATCTTCTTATGACTTCGGTAAATTTTACATTCCTCTCACCAGTGTATCTGTGTAACACGCTACAGTGAAGGAAAAAGAGGTCTCACTTGAAAGGCACGTGACGCTGGGCTGATCCTGGCCTTTCGAGAGCCACTCTGACTGGGATGGAGCCGCGCACAGGGCTGCGTTCCATGGGGGCCCATTTCTCCAAGAATGCGTGGGGAGAGTCTGTGCAGCCCTCTGCAGTGTCACGGTGGAGAAGCCGCTGGGAAGGCCTGGCATGACACCGCTGGCGGGGTGGGCCTGTAGTCTGCAGCCTCCCTGGGAGGCTCAACACGAGCGCGCTTTGACTGCAGGAAACATGTCCCTCTTGCCTTCCGTGAAGTGTCACAACTACTGCAGCGTTCGTGATCACAGGACGCATATCACCACCACCAGGACTTTACACATGAACGAAGTAAGTCTCCAAGGGCTCACAATTTCTTACAATCAGGTATGTTCGAGTGATCCCCAAAGCTGGCTGCCATTTCCATCTCAACAGACTGGGGGATCCAGCTGCCTCGCCCTCACTTTGTCAAGTTCAGTCTTGAAAAAGATAGCACTTAAGTAAACCAAGTGTACCTGCTTCATTCATCATAGAAAATAAGGAATCCAGTCAACCAATCCTGCTTTGTATTCTCTATAAAGAAAATAACCTTGAATTCAGAAATGCCAACATACCTCTTCCTGTCTAGGCCAACACACTGCTGTAGCACATTTTCAACGAGAATTGTTTCACTGCTTAATTGTCTAAAAACACACATTCTAACCATTGATTTTCTTAGTTAAATCTCTCCCTCTTGCTTTCTTACCACTTCAGTGAACACTGAGAACAAATCCAAGGTGGCGCGTACTTAGGGATATGGAGGACACACGGGTTACTGTGGGTTTTGTCACTGAGAATTCCAAATGTTAATGCGAAGAACTCACATCTTGTAGAAATTTCTTCCTACACTACTGTCATCCAGCTCTTAACAAAGTATTCATTTCGCAAAAATTGCCCGTTTAAACACTAGATCGGAGGCCACACAGACTAACCGGGCGACGGCTCCAGCGGCTCCCCGGGTCCTGGCGCGCGCGCGCACGCACGCACGCACGCACGCACGCACGCAGAGAACGGCACGGCGCGGCCCTCGGCCTCTCACGGCGCCTCCTTTGCTGCCAGAGTCATCTGAAAACGACACGAAGGGCTGAAATCATTGATCCACTTGTCCACTTTGTGTTTAACTTCACTTGCTTAGCATGCTCTTTCCAACTGAAACAGTTTACGTGATTCATTTCTAGATATTCCTGCAAGAATAATGGCGGGGGGGGGGGGGGGGATGGGGGGAGCCCCAGGGGCTGGGGGGGTGTCTGGAGAAATAGCTCAGCAGCTGAAGTGTCCGCCTGGCAAGCGCAAGGTCCGGAGTTCAATTCCTAGTACAAGAATAGAGGCTTCAAGAACCTTCGCTCTTTTTTTTTCTCTGAGGAAAATGAGGGTATTTCCATCTTTTACAATAATGAAAGTCCTTAATTTAAATGAACATTCAAAATGTTCCACACCGTTAGAGAGCGCATCTACCAGCTGGGCCCCAGTTCTTCAGCTCGGCACTGAGGCGAGGCTCGGGCAGCCCAGGACCAAGCCCTGCCTCTGACAGCCTACCATTTCCTGCTGCGCGCTTCCTTCAAGTTGGGATTTTCACTTCAATCAGAAAGTCTGTGTGTTTATTAACTGAACAGATGCTTCAACCACCAGCTGGTATTTTTAATTTTAAATAAAAATTTAAAATTATATTGTTAATTAACTTCAAGAATGGATTTAAAGCAGTCTGCTTTGTTGTGCAGGTCTCCAGTGAACAGCCTTCCCTCGTGCGTCCCTGCCCGCAGCCATGCCAGCCCGTGGCTGCTGTCTGGGCCTCCCACAGGCTCCTCCTGTTGGCTCTGAGGAGACTGTGGCCCCGCGGAACCCGGTCATACAGAACCTCCAGGTTCCCATTATGCACCTGTAAATGAGAACGCCAATCTAGGGTGCCACTGCCGCAGGCGAGGGCTGGACAGTCCTATAAGGAAAAACACAACTGGCTTTCTAGTTTTGTTTGGTGCAAATGCCATTTACTTAAAGCCAGTATTTGTTCCCCGGGTTTTTTGTTGTTGTTGTTGTTGTTATTTTTGTTTTTTTGCAATTTGCTTTCAAGTGGCTTGTAACCATCTTTTTTAAAACATTAAATTAAGAATTTACCATTAAAAAAGTAAACAGTTTCAAGAAGGCCGACTCTGTTTGTCCTCTGCCATCCACACTCCTAACTAAATCTTTAGAAGCCTCCAGGCTGAATAAGGAAGCCAGAGCTAGCAGTGTACAAAGCTAGGGAACGGCAGGGAAGCACGGGCAGGAGCTGCCGCTGGCTTCCATGCAGCTGTTTCCTAATTCAGCAAAGTCAGCCCAGGGCAACTCAGAGACCACCAGAGGAATATGAAAACTACATCCGACTCAATAAAGCTGTAAAGGGAGGAGGCACAGCTTCATGCTAAAGGGAGGGACAGACTTTCCTTTTCTTCCTAAGAGATCATCAAAAAAGAGAGAAGAGGGGGAAAAATTAAGCCTCCTGGTAGAGGACCATAATATTAAAAGCCCAGTTCATGATTCCATATAAAAAGGCAGTCAACCAAAATTCTACTATGAATTCATCTTAACACTCAACACTCAAAGATGAACAGCAAAAAATCATTATCTTTACCATACTAGACAATAATGTAAAATCAAAAGTAGTAAAAACAAATGCAAAAAAATTAGCAGAAAATAACTTGAAATGAGTCACGCAGAGGGGCTATAAATAAATGCAGTTTAGAATTACAACAAAAACAAGCTGAACAAAAAGCATTTATGTATGCAAAGACATTTACTACCTTTTTAAGATTTTCCAAATATTTGTGGGGTTTTATTAAAAAAATTCTCTACTATATGTCTTCATTATAAATAAAACCAAAAGGAAAAAGAAAAATCCAACCTTCGTTCCAAGACATTTCTTCCAGATACACGTGTGCATGTACTGGTCCCACACTTCTGAGCTCATCTTCTGTAGAACAGAAAGTGAAACGTGTCATTTTGATACCTTCGTTGTGAAGAAGACCTAGAAGGGCCACTCCACATGGTCACTACAGTTCTCCCTGACTTTACCATCCTGACAGCAGTGTGAAGGTAAGAAGGTCTAGAACAATCAAGATCTGTCCTGCTTGGTAACTTTTTGGTAATCAGCCAGTAATTTCTGCTTGGTGAGACCCTGGAGAAGACCTGTCAGTCAGGTAAGTCGTCTCACAAAGAAGGCAGTGTGGCATGGGTCACAACAGCCACCTGAAGCTTGGGAGGAGACAGGAGTGACCTCTCCCTTTACTTCAGGAGCTGAAGGCTGTGATGACGTGCTGGCCCCAGGGGCTGCTTGGAGACCTGGTGTTAGAAGTGCAGAAAGGGTGGCACAGGGTTAGGTCCTTCTCCGGTGGGGCTGGTGGCTTTCTAAGGAGAAAGGCCTTTGCTCAGGTCCAGCCTGAGGCAGAAACCCAACTACCTACGGTCAAGTCACAGCTGAGGCTGGAGAAGCGGGCACTTCTTGCTGAAGACAAGTGTCTTAGGACAGAAAGAGCTACTGTGTATGGGAAGCAGTTGTCACTGTTTTTAAAGGCACGTTCTATTTCCTGTGTGCTTGTATTGTTCTTCTAGAAGTCAAGGCTTAAAAAAAAAGCTGTTAAAAATCCAACCCCCACTCTGGTGGGATTTTCTTGAGCTGTCTCACTAGTCTCTTCTTCACTTCCTTAGAATGCCTCCCTTTGTTCCCTTGTGTGAATGCCTGCAGTTTAATTATATTTAATAACTGCCTGTTCAAAATTTATTGGTGAGTTACATAATTTTAAAATAGATGTGACGATTATACAATATTTTGAATTCGCCATGGTATTCTATTAAGATACTGCCAATATTATACCACTTCATATTTACTAGGTACTGACAGTCCCTTGAACTGTCCCCAAGATCCACACAGATCAGACCTCTGCAGTGTGAGTGACCACAGGAGAGCCCGTGCCATGTGTGCTTAGGGCTTCCTGAACAGAGCCATCTCATTTCCAGTCGACAGCAAGCATGCAACAGTTTCTTACACGGCCTGAGATGGTTGCCTAGAACTGGGGAAATGAGACACTCACGTACTTGGAAGGGTTAACTGATGCTTTAAAAAGCCCATTTAGGGCCAGCCAGATAGCTCAGTGGACTAAAGCGCCTGCTTAGGCAGACGTAGGGACCGGGGCTTGATTGCTGGCATGCCGAGCCAGAGCAGGCCCTGCCCCCAGGGCACACTGAGATGGAGAATGAGACTGGGCATGGTGGTGGGCACCTGTAATCCCAGTACTTGGGAGTTTGAAAACAGGAAAATCAATACGAGTCCGATCTGTGTTGTGAGACCCTGTACGAAATACATAAAAAAAGAAAAAAAGCCCATTTATGGTTTAAAAAAAAAACGAAACAGGTCTCCCTAGCGTACAAGCACACTGCCCCTCTTCTGGGATACGCATCATGTTTACATACATCTCTGGCAACAGTGAAAGCAGAGCATGCAGAGATGATGACAAGAAAGCTGGCTGCCACCCTGACAGTCCTGGACAACATTAACATTGCAACACTCTACTTCCAAGCGCCTGGAGAGATCCCTCGCAGATCGAACTGCCCTGCAATCACCTCTGCTCTACGGGAGACGACCGGGAGCCTTCACGATCAAGGCTGTGTCCCACCCACTCAGCAAGCGGCTCTTCTACTTACCTTCATCCTTCTCCACCAGGATGTACAGCTTCAGAGGAGCTGCCTACTTCCTGGTTGAAAGATCAGCATAAAGCACAGGCCACCTATCCCAGTAAACCAGAATGCAAAGTGCTCATCAGTACCTCGCCAAAGGTCAGAGCGCCAAGGACACCAAAGCATTCGCATTCTGCCATTAGCTGAGCACCTGTAATTGATACCTGGTTATTCAACACCTGTGCACACAGCCTAAGTTTCTCGTTTACCAATCAGGATGTGACATCCAGAAGCAGCCTATCCTATGTGGCTGGCTGCCCATCCTACGAGCTTGGCCAGGTGAGGGTCCCTAGGGTGCTGGGGCGGAGGGCACAGCCTCCGGCTGCGTGGGGTGCACTTTGGGACCAAGGACCTACCATACCATGCACACTTGGGTTCCTGCACTTCTCCATGTGTGCTTTACTTCTGCAGCTTTAAAGTTAGGACTAAGGCTAGTAACAATTTTTAAATAAAAATATGAGAAGTCTCAAATCCTGCAGGAGGAAAATGTGTATTCTCTGACAGTGCTTAGAGGACCATCCTAACCACTTCTCAAAGCAAGTGGGAGTGACTCACCCAAGGGAAAGGGATGTGGAGAGTGGTATAATGAGAGGGGCAGCCTAAGGAGGTGGCTGACCGTGGGCAGCAGGGGACAGCTTGGACCCTTTGTGGACCGGCAGGTGTCTGTGGGCAGAGCAGACCCAGCCACCCCCACCCCGGCCCAACAACAAGGGAGGAGGCAAACAGATCAGTGTTTGGTGTTTTTTTTTTCTTTTTAAACAATGATCTCTGCTAGTCTACCATTGTGATTATAATTAAAAACGTAATTCTTTCCTATCCACTGAAGGAACTCACGGGAATGCTGTAATTAGCCTTGATAATTGTCTACTAATCAGGCATGGCATCTTCAAAACAGATAAATTATTTTTCTTTTGTAAGATTACATATAATTTTGCTCATTCCAACAGAACATTTTAATAGGTGTCCTGAGCTGTCAATCTTGGCTCAGAGTTGTTAACAGGACACCACTACAAATGGGGAGAAAACTGACTTAGATTAAAAAAAAAAAAACCAAAAAACTGATACTACACTGATTTAAAGGACCAGATCCAAGTCTTCATCTGAAATCTCTGCTACAGAATGGTAATCACTATTTATAAACAAGAAAACCCCTCAGCCATTGGGAAAGCAAGGGCCCACCTGAGTCCAGCTCAGTCCAGTGACACTGTGGGTCCATCCCTGAGGGAGAAAGGGCCACTTCCTGCAGACACCTGAGAGCAGGAAGCCTGGTGACACCCTGTGCTGCGCAGTGCGCACACAGCCAGATGCGCAGATGAGGGCTGCCAAGCCCACTCTTCCAGAGAGAAAGCAGTCATTATGGTGAGAGGGTCTGGGAATATAATGATAAAATCAAATAATTTATGTGGCTACTTGAAAAGGAATCTTTCAGCCCTTAGAAGCGTCGGCCCTTGTGACCTGTGTTCCATTGGATTTGTCTGACAACAAGAGGGCAAAGAATTCCAGGGCTCCATTGTCTCCGCAGTGGGAGCCAAGAAAATACTGGCAGGACTCATCAGAGAGGTTTACGAGCCTGCAGTTCAAAGAGATTAAAAGAGAGCTCTTGGAGACTCTCTCGCGCTGAAGAATAACATTAAATAACTATTAGCAGCTTGGCTCGGTACAGCTTACCAGGGCTCTCGCTGGGGCATTCACCACTTTCTAAAGGACGAAAGGCTTTTTCAGCTCCATTTGGGAATCAATAAATATTTCTCACTTCTTACCAGACAATGGAATTCCAGTCTTTTTCAACTTCCTCCTAATGACAGTAAAACTTCTAAAACAACTCTGTTTAATGTCTACATGATTACAGCTCTAATCCCAGGAAACTTTCTAACTTTAGCTACAATTTTTAAAAAATTAAAGTACAAAATAAATAACAACAAAAACCTTTGAGAGGAATTTAACTTCGCTCACTGAAAGTCCCTTCACTCAGACAATGGCCCAAGGATCAAGTCTGTCTGCGGCACTGTCCACACTATGCATGTGTGGCAGTGTCACACGTGACCACTACTCTCCCCAGTGTGTTCTCATCTAGAAAGTGTTCCGCTGGCTTTTTTATTTTTATGCCATTTCAAATGCCTCAAGTTTAAAGACACGTGTGTTCATGGAAGTAAAGGAGAACTGTGTCCTCCAGGTCTAACACACATCTTGCCATCTAAAAATCAAGTAATTTAAAGCCCCATAATATACAGCTGATGCAGCTGGGTCCCCCTTGGTGACCAGTGTCGGCACCTTGGTCAGAGCCTCTCATTCTCTCTGGAGAGACACTCACAGTGTCGCCCTCACAGTGCAGTGGGAGAGTACACGCAGTAGCCGTGTGCATCTGACCAGCTCCGGGGTCTGCTGACCAGGGCCCTGCATGGAGCAGTGCTCAGCAGCAGCCTGGGTCCCGGTCTCTGGGAGGCAGAGGCTGCATGCCCTGCAGAAGTCTGATGCTCTCTGCTAAGGTTGGTCTCCTTAAAGCTGACGCCTCCATCTGTGTCACTCTGTAGCCACTCAAGTATCAAACAGAAACAAAGGACGGAATCGGAGCAATGGCACCATAATGAATCCTGCGGGTCAGATCAGTCAGAGGCTGGCAAGGCACAGGCAGGGGACGGGGAGGAGCTGCGAGAGGCAGGACGTGGCATCCGGGCAGCGGGCACGTGGCACTCTAGGTCTGCCAGGGGACCCTCTACAGACAGCCAGCATGGAGCAGGAGGGAGGGGAGGCCAGAGCCAGGTGGCCAGCACCCACTGGGCCCCCAGGCTTCCAGGCTGAGGAGAGCGACCTGTCTTGCTCTGGCCTCCAACTTCAGATGGGTCGGGTGGGAGCAGACACTGGGAAAGGGGCCACTCAAACAGCCCCACCTGAGACCCCAGACTGCTCTCTTCCTGAATGAGCCCCCAAGGGCATGTGTGTACCCCAGAGGTACACTATCTTGCCACAGGTGCCCAGACTGTCTGAAACAAGCCAAAGTTTTGTTCAAAATTAATGAAAAGTGGGGCTGGGGAGAGGCTCAGTGGAATAAGCACTTCCCTAGCAAGGGCAAGGGCCTGAGTTCAATCCCCAATTCCGCCAAAAAATAATAATAATTAATAAATAAATAAATAATGAAAAGTGACCCGTCATGACAGAAAGCCAGCTGCATCTAAGTCAAAGTAGTAACCACGAACAGCGAACAGCGTCCTTGTGACAGTGAGAGGAGGCGGGGACTCAGGAAAGTTGTCCCAGCTGTCGGCACAGATCTTCTGCACCATTTCACACGGGCAAGTCCCCAGAAAACAGCCACCAAGACACAGAGCCCCGATGCTTATCTTCAAGTTTTTACCTGAAGCAAATTTTTACAGCCAATTTTGAAATTCCTAAAAATCAAATGTAAGTACTAATGTGACCATAAAAGGAAACCCTAATCTAACTAATTCAAGTGTTTTTAAGGGTCAGCTTTAGGACATAATTTACATAATCGTCACCTGGCTTCAAGTTACCATACTTACCCATATTATCTACATTTAGAAGTATGTTATTTCCTCTTCTGACAGAGTTAGTGGGTCTTTAAGACTCTTTTCAGGGAGAATTCTAACTATGAGCTTAAGCAATGATGCGCTGATTTAATCATCTGACACAGAATGCTGGTGGCATCCTCGTCCTCAGATGCCTTCTTCCTTGTCTCCTGCTGTCAACGCACTCAAGTACAGGTGCAGTGGCTCCCACCGCCCCCCAGGGAGGGCTGGCTGTCAGCAAAGGCCACTCTCTTCTGCAGGGCTGTGTAAGGCCTGGGGCCAGGCTGTCATGGGTGTCTCCAACCGAAAGGGGAGTCCAGCGTCAGCAGGGTGATTGGGCCCTAGGGGACGAGATGCGTCAGTGTCAGGCACACTGGCAAGAATTCCAAGTTCAGTCCACTCTCGCTCGTAATTTTTCTGGCTCTTCAGATCACAGGGATGACTTAATTCATCAGCTGTGCCACACCACAGAGCCACAGAGACATCACGAGAGATCTGTGTGAGCACATGTACCAAACCACGGGATCCCGATCCCTGTTACATTTGGCGGTACACTTGTGACATGCGTCGGAACACGCTTAACATCTAAGAAAGCCCTGGCAAGGTTTCCTGAGGTGCAGGCGCCCTGCACGTGAACACACACAAAGTCCCAGCAGTCTCCGCAGCGCTCCTCTGCACAGCACAGAGCCCACCTGCCCGCCCACTCCATGCTTTCCTGGCCCAGCAGCAGCCTTAGAAACAGTAGGGGCCAAGTGCCAACTGGAAGCACCTGACTCAGTTCACCACTCAGCCCTGCCTTCAATAACGTCCCCTGTGAGCAGGCCCTGCGCACCCCTCTTACAGGTGCTTGGCTCAGCCTGGCCAGCACTGCCCAAGACAGAAAAGAACACACGGACTTCACCTAAGGTGAGCTGGCCCACACTACGACTGTTTGTTAGAAATAGCCCATCTGAATATTTTTTTGAGAAGCAAAAGGAATACAAAATGTCAAGAGCATCTTTCAATTCTCTTCTGGAAAATTCTGCGGCTGGGGCAACACCATGGGACTTTCCTCACAGCACAGCTCCAAGGCGAGCTATGAATATGAAAAAGGCCTCATGAGCCACCGTAAAGCACGCCTACCTTCTCAGCATAAGAGGGCTCAGTTTATTGTATATGGCAAGCTCACGGCACCCGAGGAGCAAATACGTGACGCACACCCTATGAAAAGCAAGGTTTCACCATGAGCTGTCCCCACACGAACAGCTGCCTATGACAAAGCCCTGTCCATGTCCCCGAGCGACCACCAAGAGTGCTGACCTGGTTAGTCATTCTCTCTGCTGCCTCCCTACTCCCTGATGACTCTCTACCCTCAGAGCTCTCCCTGCTCTCTGCTCTACACCGGCATGACTACAGGGTTAGGTTCAATTCCTTTCTGAGGAGCCATCTATTTAAAATGAGTCAAGAAAAAAATCAATATTAGTATTCAAAAGAACAATGTGAAAGAGGTTCATGATGAGATCTTTGAAAGCTGCTCCCATGTGGAAGACTTCAGCCCTGCATGTTCTCTTTCGATGAGGTCAACCTCCACTTAGAATCCCAAGAGAGTGCCCGCCACCCCAGGGCTCGCCAAAGGCGGATGTCTGGAAACCCAGATGGAAGGCATTAAAGCTCCATGAAGAGCTGTCCTTCCACAGGCTTCACTTCAGAATAACTCAATTCAGCACCGGCGCACCTGAAAAACACTGACAAAGCGAGCTGCTACTCTGGCCATCCCGGCCGCTCACCCACATGGTGAGGTCTCGCTGCCTGTGGCTCCCCTGGACTTCACTGTGAGCTCATCAATGTCCTGACCCATGCCTGAAATCCCAGCTACCACTTCGGAAGCTGAGGATGGCGGATCACAAGTTTCAGATCAGACCGACCTAGGTTAACACAGTGAGACCCTGTCTCAAAATAAAACCTTGAAAATGTTGGGGATATAAATCAAGTCTGGATCCAGTCCCCAGGAGAAGAGGAGGAAAAAGCTCAAAGCAGAGCACTCAAGACTCAAATGAAGCGCACAGCCCCAAGCCCTTTTCTGCACACGCTAGCTACAGTATTTGGACTTGTACTACCTCATACCTTTCTTCCTGGATTCTGCACTCCTATGAAGGCTGGTTTCCTACGTCTGTCCACTTATCACCTCAGCAAGAAATGTGTGACGATCTGTGACAGCTCCCTACCTCTCAGACTCCCATGTCTTGTGAGACTCACTGACATGCTCTGTGTGCACAGGCTGGGGGGTGCAAGGGCAGGAACACAGCGGGACTGTGGGGACACGTGCCCTGCCCTCTCCAGGTGCACAGGGCCAATGGAGAATGTCCATGGCTGTGCAAACCCAGGGAAGCACCATACCCCCATCCCTGTCCTGTCCCTCCCCCCATGGAGCCCGAGGCCTCACTCCCACGAACAGTGCCACGGGGCATTCAGGTCGAAAGTCAGGCAATCTGCATCCTAGGAACCCAGCTTAGTTTTACTTGTTGTGAACCCAGTTTAAAAGGATGTATCCCTGGGCCAGCCAGATAGCTCAAAAGCGCCAGTTTAGGCAGATGCAGGAGCCAGGGGGTTGATTTCCAGCCTGCCGTGCCTGCCCTGCCCCCGCACTATTGAGACTCTGCGTGGTGGTGCCTGCCTGTAATCCCAGTGCTTCAGTGGCTGAAAACAGGAGAATCACTGAGTCTGATCTACGTAGTGAGACCCTATAGACCTGTACTAAATACATTTTTTTTAAAAAAAGGGTGTATCCCTAAAGAGCATATTCGCAAATGATAACATCTCTATGTTCTCTTTTAAAGGAACAAACACCAAGCAGAAAGTCCTATCTGGGCTACACTTAAAAATCACTGTCAACACCTTGAAAGATACATGCAGTAAGGTCTTCAAATTTATTTAACAACATCAGCATTTCCGAAGTTAAATGCCGTTAAGCTGATGAGGGCTATGAATAAATCACTATTAACATCAAATGCTCCCCTGCGGGCACAGGTACTACAGCTGGAGGAACAATGGATGCACAGCTTCCAGGGAACAGCGTGCGTCCTCCACACAGACCTGTGCTACCCTACAGTGCTGTGCTCATCCTGGAGCTTCGCCATTCGGATCAGTGTCCCCAACCACAGCAGAAGGCTTCCTATCAGTCCCCGGGCTGGGCGGCAGGCAGGAGGGCTGGCCCCACACAAGCTGTGGGAAGGTCACCTCAGCGACAGGTTCGGCCCTCCATGAGGAGACTGCCCATCAGCATGAAAGGCACAGCGCATGTCCCCACACAGGACTGGGACTCCTCCCCGAGGACAGGACTGAGAAATAGCCTATCGCTTCATGTCAGGCCTGACCTACATTCCCCCAGCTTCCTCACAACAGCTTGTCCCTGTGTCAGAGGCTCTGTGCAGTGCAGTGACAGGACCACCCCGGGCCCTGGGCGGAGGGCGCCCTCCCCTCCTTGGGGGAGGCTCTTGATGCATCACCGCATTCCCCAAAGGGCTGGAAACAGCACACACATGTTCAGCTGCTGTGGGAAGGGGCTGCTCGGCTTCCTGGGGAGCTGGGTGCAGCAGCTCCATCGGCTCCCACGGGGTCGGTCACTGCTGAACCCGGGCAGCTCCCAAGCCCACCACCAGAAAGGCCTGGTGAGCACGCAGGGCCCGTGCACCTACCGTGCCGCTGCAGGTCGTACTCCTTCCTCAACTCTTCATTCCCCAGAACCTTCCAGGCCTGGCCCACCTCAATGAACTTCTGTCGATGCTCCTCCAGCGTCTCTGCCGGTGTGGCTGTGCTCTGCTTGTCAGGGTGATACTGCAAGCAAACCAGAGGGGTCATGAGCAGCAGGAAGCTGTGCATGCTGTCGGGCCAGGAGACCACTGCAGGGGCCACCAGAGAGAGTCCTGGCCGAACATGATCCGCCAGTCTGAGAGAAGGAGCCACAGCTGCAAGCACTCGCTTCCACCTCCTCCCACATACCGCTGGCAGGAAACCTCAGCCGGCCCACCTCCCCAAAAGTGACCAGGGTATCAAGCGAAAGAAGACATACTAGATGGTTCTGTGACTGGAAACTCTGGTTCTGGCAGTTCTACTCTAGGGTGAATGAAACCCACTCTGGGATCCAGGTAGGGACAGGTGATGGGAATAGCAGAGGGCAGGACTGAGGTATTCAGGGACTGAAGTGTTCTGTGGCTCATTCTGGGGGCAGTAACCTGGTACCAGAGCTCACCAGACCAGGCATGTAAGTGAGATCAGCACACCTCATCCGTGTGCGCTGAGGCTATCCCAATAATAAAAGCTTTTCACAATTACCTAAACTGTGCAAAAAAGATTTTAACGCCACCGCTGCCACCACTGCCCTGTGTACCCTTACTGATACTGGAGACTGAACCCAGGAAATGCCGGGCTACATTCCCAGCCCTTTTCAGAATCCGAGACAGGGTCTTCCTAGCTCGCTCAGGCTGGTCTCAACACAGAGGCCTGCCTCAGCCTCCCCAGAAGCTGGGAGGTACAGACACGCGCTGCCACATGCAGTAACTTAGCAAATCTTCTGAAGCCATGAGGGAAAAATGAGGCATTTCTTCCAATCTTATAAAAAGTTATAAAAAGTATAACTTAAAGAATTGTGACTTAGTAAAGTTTGAACTAGAGTCATTTGTAGAAAGTTTTATTATTTGTGAACACACTTAAAAACAACTTAAACACTTAAATTCCAACAACTTAAAAACATTAAGTGTTGCTTAGTATATAGCTAAAGCATCTCCAAAATTGAAACATAAATGTCACGATACTAAGAACAGCAACAGTGATATCATCTCTGTAATTCACTGTAACAGTACAAAAGAATGTATTTCCAGAATTCCCACGAGGTGCTGCTCACCACTGTCAAATGAAAGAACTCTCTGACTCAAGCAACTTCCTCACATTTTAAGCCCATCTTTTCAGTTTTATAAGCTGCTATTCTTTAAATCCCCATGTCATTTATTGAGGGTAAGAAAATCTGACACAAATAAAAAGATGAAGAAATCATATTCATATAAAAGAAACATTCACAGCGGCACTGAGGACAAGAAGAGCAACGGGGCATTCCATCAAGACCCTGATAACTGTCTGAACTGTTTAACTGACAGTGACCACTTTACACTTTAATCATGAAGTCTGCGTCCTTTTGTCCCTGGGCCACGGACTTGCTGGCGTGCTGGCCAGCACTCTCCGGCGGAGCCGCACATACCCAGTCTCCCTGCTTTGTGCTACCCCAGAGTCTATAACCATGGTGGGCCACCTACGTCTGAATCTTAGATATTCTCTGCCCACCAAGTCTGAATACTTTTTGAATTGCCAATACTGGAGTAACTGTTACAATGTGTCACCCTCATTCTGGGGCCCAAAATTCCAAGCCCTGTCCCACCAAACTCTCCGGGCAATGCTGCATGCTAAACTTTGAGAACACTGTTAGCCTCCACTGTTTAAAATATAGCAATAAAGGGTAAGTCAGAAAACTTGTTTTCATAAAAATATTCCTGTAACAAATGTATTCTGCCAAGTATATGTATTTTAAAAAGGAAAATAAATGTTGAATCTGTGATACTCCTGGATCATGTTAACTTACAATGCCACATTTTTTAGGTATCTGACACCTTCTGTCCACTAGTTGTAAACGATGGCCTTTTTATTTCATGGTGAGCCCTAAAATAAACTTACTTCCCTCAAGAGGCTGTGGAAATGTGCCAATTTTTCCAAGGAGTAGGGCGCTAAGTGTATGAAGCCTTGGCCCCCGAGCCCTGCAGTGGTATCCACTGATAGGCTTAGCACACAGGCAAGTGTTTTGGAATTACAGGACAAGAACTGACCTATGGATTGTACAAACAGCACAGTACAACACAGTGTCAACGTTTCCACAGCTCGTCTGTCTTAGTAAATCTGTGGATGCGCCTGGGCTCCCACTGAATTCCTGAGTGCCTTTGGAAGCACCTGTAGGCACAGGAAAGGCACCGGGAAGGGAACGAAATGCTGTTTCTTCAAGGTAAATACCTAAAAGTCTTACAGCAAATCACTCACATACATTATCCTATACTACACACCTGGGATTGTTCTGTTACTGATAAAACAGTAACTGCAAATAAGAAGTAAACCGTTATGAAAAGAACCTTGGGCAAAGCTGATTAAACAGAAACTCCCAAGTAGTCAAGCTGATACTATCTGACCTATCAGCGTGGCCCATGACCCACAGAACTACAGTTTTTGTTCTCAGCAGATGAGTGTAGCACCATTCACAGGGTACAAGCTCTCTAGTTCCACCAAACTTTGGATTCAAGAACTAAATTCCAAAGTACCTCCAGAAACCTGTTTTATCAGCACTATAAATTCAATATATTTAAAACCTGTAACTATCTTAAAGGTTATAAATCTTATAACCTATAAGATTTTAAAATTAGATTCTCTATTAAAATTCTTGTCTGTTACAAGCATTGATGCGCTGAATAAATGGTAAAAGGATGAAAAGTGAAAAAAACTTTCGAATAACCCAGGCTCCCAACAGAGAGCAACAGGAGGCCCTGTGGGCGCAGCACCCGTGCCCCCCACATTCCAGCGCCAACTTGCTTGCTTGAGCCCTGTCTCCTGCAGTCACACCTAAGAGCTCCCACTCACCTGCCTGTTTCCAGCTCACATGCCTGCACTTCTCTCTGACCACTGTCCCCTGACAAAATGACACAGTCTAAGTGACACTGCTGCAAAAGCAACAAGTCACACTCATTGCCCTTCCAGGTCCTCTGTAAGAGAGCCCAAGCTCCCACTCCACCTCCGCCTCTTCCCAGTGGGAGGGTGCAGGCAGTGTCCCGCAGTGGCAGGCACCACAGAGCTTAGCCTGTGAGAGTAAGGAGCAGACAGTCAACCGGCCAGGCAGGACGGAAGGTGGGTTCTGGCCCGAGGTCGGGATGTGTGTGCTCTTCTCTCCTACTCTTCCTAGCAAGCAAGTATTCATGTGCCACGCTATGCAGCGGGCACAGAAAGAGCCTGGTATGGGAATGCGCTCCTGCCCACGGCACCTTCGAAGACTCTACCACCCAAGCCAAGAGGGGGCACAGTAACACTCTGTGGGACATGCATGCAAGCTGGCTACTGCTTGTCTGCCCCCTCAAGCACTCCAGCCTCATCCTGAGGCAGGACTGCAATGTGCGAGTACCAAGGACTACATCCTGGGGCCCAGAGGCTCTGCCGCTGCGAAGGGACTGAGCCTAAGCTGCAGGCAGGTCCCAGTCTTTCTCTCTGGTAGTCCAGCGCCAGGCCCTTGCCAGACACCAACCCCATGATCTTGGATTTTCAGACTCCACAACCAAGAGCCACTATATTTGTTTGTATAAATTTCCCAGTCTCCAGAATCTTGTTGAAGTAGAATATAGAAGCTGAGACCTAAATCCTTGCAAAAATTAGTCCCCTCTCCCTGCCCCCCGTGTTTCTAGCTTTCTTCTAGGCTTTGTGAACACTGTCTCCCACACCAATTGCATTCTACTACACAAGGGAGGAAGTGTCTTAAGAACAATAGCTCTTACCCATATCTCAGCAAAAAGAGAGTTGGGCAACATTTTTGACTTTCATTTTGCCAATGATTCTTGGGACGGAATCCCATCCCAGGTGGTCATGCCAAGCCCAATATGGCACTGCTGGACCCACCTTACAGAGAGCTGCTACTGCAAACAGCACAGGACTCTCAAGGCAGTGGTGCACAAACGCAAGACAAAGCCTACTATGGGTTATTGTTCCTAGGCACCGTCTGAGGACCGAGGCAGCACAATATTTTGAGCCACTCATCACAAAGACAATAAAACCTCGTTTCTTTGGACATCTCACAAGAGAATGGAGATCAAGGTGAATAATATGATTAATAACACATTAGTTAATCTGACCGCAACATCTGACAAGAAGAGCACCAGCCTAACGTTCTTCCCCATGAAGACCTATTCTTGATTAACCAAAGGATTAAACTTAGGCTTTACTAAAATATTTCAGGAAAATCAGTAGATTCCTAATCTTTGATCATTTTATACAACCTAGGAACCTCCTTCCCCAAAATGTTTATACATCCCTACTTTCTTTCCTCCCAAAGTAAGGCAAAAGAGAGGGTGCCCATTTAAATACAAGTAAGCCCATCCTTCTCTGAGGTCCTTCCCACGCTCGCCACCACTCCTGGCCCCAAGTCTTCCTGGATGCACTCAACACGAGCTGGAGGAAACCCATGACAGATGCGTACCAGGTCTCCGGGTCCCATGACAATGAGCAGCTGGGCGCAGCCAGCCTGCCTCCTGGCCCACTGGGGAAGGACCACTCTAACTACTTGCAGAAATGTACAGACAGACAGAGACCCTACTGCACTCCCCTCGGCAGCTCGGGCTCCGCTCTGCAGCCACCAAGGTCAGCCTTCACACTCTTCTAAGTAATCAGTCTGCCTTATTAATGACACTACTGTGCTGGCGGTGAATTTCCTCCAGTATGACACCCTTGGGATAGAAAAAACCAAGAAAAGGAAAGAAAATGTGACAGATGAACTTTACTTAGCTCATGGCTAAGTCAGCTCTAAAAGAGTTTCCTGTAAAAATACAAAATATGATTTCCACTGACTGGAATGTCACATAAGAGGTGCCCACAGTGGCAATGAGCCCATATGCTACAAGCACTGGCCCCTTCATACTACGTGCTCAAGCTTTCTGGGGAATTACCACCCATGCCCGGGCTGGGACCACAGCCCTCCTCCATTCTTACCAATTCGCCTCAGAGGGCACTCGGGAAGGTGGCTAACTTTCACACTGGTGAGGCTG